TCCTGGGTTCAAAGCGATTCTCCTGCCTCAGCCTCCCGCGTAGCTGGGACTACATGCGTGCACCACCACCATGACCCAGCTAATATTTTGGTATTTCATGGATGATGGGGTTTCACCGTGTTGGACCAGGCTGGTCTCAACTCCTGACCTCAAGTTATTCACCCACGTGTAGGCCTCCCAAAGTCCTGGGATTACAGGCATGAGCCACTGCCGCCCGGCCATAGATGCCTTCTTAATCATAACATCCTACAGTCTCATCTGCCATCTTTGTGTTTTTCTCAAACTGATTATCCTGCCTCAGCCTCCTAGGCTGGGTTATTCACTGAGCCACCACGCCTGGCTAATTTTTGTATTTTTAGTAGACACAGGGTTTTGCCAAGTTGGTCAGGCTGTGTCTTGGCATCAAGTGATCCATTGTCAAAAAAAAAAGAACCTTTTCACATCACGCATCATTTTACACACTATAAAGCTACAAAACCAGTGAATTTTAAAGGCAGAGAGTTCCTGTTGAATTTTTGGCATTCTAAACTATGTAAATGTATTCCAACTAAAGACCCAACCAAGCAGGAAGAACAAAAGGTGGTGAATTCATGTATTTAGTGTGAGGTCACAGTCAGCTTAGGAAGACAGTCATTTTTTTTAGACGTAGTTTTACTCTGTTGCCAGGCTGGAGTGCAATGGCACGGTCCTCGGTTCAATGCAACCCCCTCCCGGTTCAAGTGTTCTCCTCGCCTGCCTAGACTCCCAAGTAGTTGGGATACAGGCCTCCTGCCACCATGCCTAGCTAATTTTTCTATTTTTAGTGGAGACAAGGGTTTCACCATGTTGGCCAGGCTGGTCTCCAATTCCTGGACACTCAGGTGATCCACCCGCCTCGCCTCTTGAAGTGCGGGATTAGAGCGTAAGCCACCACGCCTGGAGGAAGACAGTAATGTTTGAGTAAGATCCTATTCTTGATTACTAGTATCAGTAAGATCTGCAAATATTGCCTGTACCTCTAGCGTGAATGTGAGTTTTAGCAGATGTATGAAAGCATGATATCAGCAGGTACAAATGTGTGCGGTTTAGGAAAGGAAACTCTTTGCAACAGACGTGCGGACGGTATATTCTGCTTGTTCTCCCTGGGGATGGAAACCTGAGGGTTTTGATCTGTTCCTTTCCTAACTCATTTTCCACAAGTATTCCTGTGTGTCTGAAATAAATATATTTCTCTCGAGTCCCTCACTCTCTTTCTAAAGTGACGCACACGCACACCAAGATCAGCTATACTTGCACTTACAGATAATAGGTTTAAAACTATTGTCCTTGCTTTTAATGATTATTTTCATGATTATGTTTTGCTTTTTATTGATTCACTGAAAAAAATATTTAGAAGACACAAAAGTCTATTTTTAAAAAATTGCCTGTAATCTTCAAAGACAAAAACTTTCAAAGGTTTTCGGTGTATTTTTTATGATTGACTTCATGCATTTTATATTTACTATAATCGTTAGAATCTTACGCTTTTACATATTTTATGTTTCCATTTTACATGATATTTAATTTTCCTTTTTGTTTCTAAGGTTTAAAACAGTTCTTAATAGCAGAGTGATATTGAATCAATGAATATTGTACTATTTAACTATTTTCCAACTTTTTGATTTTGTTGCTGTTATAAATTCTGACTTAATAGGCATCCATGTAGATAATCTCTCTTTACTCATTATTTCATAAATTTATATTGGTTTTGGTGCAGTTACAAAGTTTTGATACTGGTTTTTTAAGAAAAGAAAGTCAGAAATTTAGACTGTTTGATAGCCATATCTATACTTTTATAACAGTATTGGATATATATCCAATATATATATATATAATTGGATATTGGTTAAATATCCAATTTATTTACCAAATCACCAATACATTTATTGTGATTTCATTAATTTAGCCGATTTACTTCTGTCAAATCAATAAACATGTAATAATTGATTGTCTATTGTTCTTGAGACATTTTCCCAGATAATATGATGGTGCATAAATGAATAAATCTTTAGGCCTTGCTTTAAAAGATGGGCAGTGGGCATGGTGCTCATGCCTGTAATCCCAACACTTTGAGAGGCGGAGCCAGGAGATCACTTAACCAGGGGTTTGAGACTCACCAGAGAATATAGGGAGCCCCTATCTCTCCAAAAAACAAAAAAGTAAAATAAAACTAAAAAAAAAATCAGCCAGGCAATAGGTGGTGTGCCTATTATCCCAGGTACTCAGGAGGTTGAATGGAGGAATCACTTGAGCCCAGGACATTTGTGTCTTCTAAATATTTTTTTCAGTGAATCATAAAAAAGCAAAACATAATCATGAAAATAATCATTAAAAAGCAAGACAATAGTTTTAAACCTATTATCTGTAAGGCAAGTATAGCTGATCTTGGTGTGCCTGTGTGCGTCACCTTTAGAAAGAGAGTGAGGACTCGAGAGAAAATATATTTATTCAGACACACAGGAATACTTGTGGAAAATGAGTTAGGAAAGGAACAGATCAAAACCCCTCAGGTTTCCATCCCCAGGGAGAACAAGCAGAATATACCGTCCGCACGTCTGTTGCCAAAGAGTTTCCTTCCTAAACCGCACACATTTGTACCTGCTGATATCATGCTTTCATACATCTGCTAAAATCTCACATTCACGCTAGAGGTACAGGCAATATTTGCAGATCTTACTGATACTAGTAATCAAGAAATAGGATCTTACTCAAACATTACTGTCTTCCTCCAGGCGTGGTGGTATTGGTGATTTGGTAAATAAATTGGATATTTAACCAATATCCAATTTATATATATATATAATTGGATATATATCCAATACTGTTATAAAAGTATAGATATGGCTATCAAACAGTCTAAATTCTGACTTTCTTTTCTTAAAAAATCCAGTAATCAAAACTTTGTAACTGCACCAAAACCAATATAAATTTATGAAATAATGAGTAAAGAGAGATTATCTACATGGATGCCTATTAAGTCAGAATTTATAACAGCAACAAAATCAAAAAGTTGGAAAATAGTTAAATAGTACAATATTCATTGATTTCAATATCACTCTGCTATTAAGAACTGTTTTTAAAGCCTGAGAAACAAAAAGGAAAATTAAATATCATGTAAAATGGAAACATAAAATATGTAAAAGCGTAAGATTCTAACGATTTAAGTAAATATAAAATGCATGAAGTCAATCATAAAAAATACACGAAAACCTTGAAAGTTTTTGTCTCTTGAAGATCTACAGGCAATTTTTTAAAAAATAGCTTTTGTGTCTTCTAAATATTTTTTTCAGTGAATCATAAAAAAGCAAAACATAATCATGAAAATAATCATTAAAAAGCAAGACAATAGTTTTAAACCTATTATCTGTAAGGCAAGTATAGCTGATCTTGGTGTGCCTGTGTGCGTCACCTTTAGAAAGAGAGTGAGGACTCGAGAGAAAATATATTTATTCAGACACACAGGAATACTTGTGGAAAATGAGTTAGGAAAGGAACAGATCAAAACCCCTCAGGTTTCCATCCCCAGGGAGAACAAGCAGAATATACCGTCCGCACGTCTGTTGCCAAAGAGTTTCCTTCCTAAACCGCACACATTTGTACCTGCTGATATCATGCTTTCATACATCTGCTAAAATCTCACATTCACGCTAGAGGTACAGGCAATATTTGCAGATCTTACTGATACTAGTAATCAAGAAATAGGATCTTACTCAAACATTACTGTCTTCCTCCAGGCGTGGTGGCTTACGCCTCTAATCCCAGCACTTCAAGAGGCCGAGGCGGGTGGATCACCTGAGGTCAGGAATTGGAGACCAGCCTGGCCAACATGGTAAAACCCTGTCTCCACTAAAAATAGAAAAATTAGCTAGGCATGGTGGCAGGAGCCTGTAATCCCAACTACTTGGGAGTCTGAGGCAGGAGAATCACTTGAACCCGGGAGGTGGAGGTTGCATTGAACCGAGACCGTGCCATTGCACTCCAGCCTGGCAACAGAGTAAAACTACATCTAAAAAAAATGACTGTCCTTCCTAAGCTGACTGTGAACCTCACACTAATACATGAATTCACCACCTTTTGTTTCTTCCTGCTTGGTTGGGTCTTTAGTTGGAATACATTTTACATAGTTTAGAATGCCAAAAATTCAACAGGAAACTCTCTGCCTTTAAAATTCACTGTTTTGTTAGCTTTATAGTGTGTAAAATGATGCTGATGTGAAAAGGTCTCTATTTTTTTGACAATGGATCACTTGATGCCAAGGGTTCAAGACCAGCCTGACCAACTTGGCAAAACCCTGTGTCTACTAAAAATACAAAAATTAGCCACGCGTGGTGGCTCATGATATAATCCCAGCTGCCTGGGAGGCTGAGGCAGGATAATCAGTTGAGAAAAACACAAAGATGGCAGATGAGACTGTAGGATGTTATGATTAAGAATGCATCTATGGCCGGGCGCAGTGGCTCATGCCTGTAATCCCAGGACTTTGGGAGGCCTACGTGGGTGAATAACTTGAGGTCAGGAGTTTGAGACCAGCCTGGTCAACACGGTGAAACCCCATCTCCACTGAAAATACAAAAATATTAGCTGGGCATGGTGGTGGTGCACGCATGTAGTCCCAACTACTCGGGAGGCTGAGGCAGGAGAATCGCTTGAACCCAGGAGGCAGAGGTTGCAGTGTGCTGAGATCACGCCACTGCATTCCAGCCCAGGCCACAAGACCGAGACTATCTCAATAAAAAAAAAGGACATGTCTATATCTGAGCAGTTCTTCAGTGTCCATTCCATGAAGCCTTGAGCCCAGTGAGACTGAGGAGCTGTCAGTAGGGAGGACAGAACGCAGGACCCTTAGTACACTGTGGGACCCTGCATGGTTGTGTCAGGAAAAGGACATTAGTGGAAAACCTGGTCAGATCCAAATACAGCCTCTAGTTTAGGAAAGAACTCCATGCTAATGTTAATCGCCTGGTTTTGCTCTTGTCTTATGGTTATGAAGATGGTCACGTTGGCGGAAGTTGGTGACAGAGTGTAAAGAAAACCTCTGTACAACTTTTCTGCAAGTCTAAAATTGTTCTAAGTATAAAGTCTAAAAACTTCACTTATGAGCTAGACAGATGAAGAGGTGGACCTACACACACACACACGCGCGCGCGCGCGCGCGCGACACAATGTCTATGAGTGAGCAATGACCTGGTGTCCTTCCTTTTTTATTTATTCATTTATTTATTTATTTATTTTGAGACAGAGTCTCGCTCTGTCGCCCAGGCTGTAGTGCAGTGACTCGATCTCGGCTCACTGCAAGCTCCGCCTCCTGGGTTCCTGCCATTCTCCTGCCTCAGCCTCCCCAGTAGCTGGGACTACAGGCACCTGCCACCATGCCTGGCTAATTTTTTGTAGTTTTGGTAGAGACGGAGTTTCACCGTGTTAGCCAGGATGGTCTTGATCTCTTGACCTCATGATCCGTGCACCTCGTCCTCCCAAAGTGCTGGGATTACAGGCGTGAGCCACTGCACCCAGCCTGTCCTTCCTTTTAAACATTTTATTCCAAAGACAATAAGAAATGACTACTAGGTAAAAATATTGAATGCATAGTCTAGTACTTGACAAGGTGCATTACCACCTAGCCTACCTCATTGTCCAGTTAGGTACACTTTGATCTGATTCTGTCTCAGTCTGTCCCTAAGAGTATTTCTTTACTTCCTCTTACTTTTTAAGTGGAATTTCTTATTGAGGCAACGTCTTTGTGTATAATTCAGCAACTCTTTGTAACCACTGCAAAGAAAATTCAGGACTGAGATTGTCCCCATCCTCATATTTCATGTCATCACCATGCCACCAGAGCTCTTACAGGAAAGAAGGAAAAGGGAACATATTTAAAGATTTTATTTCTTGTCCTTTTTTATTGCCCAGTTGACTTTTAGGCAGTTTATCTGGTGCTATATAATTAAAACACACTTTGTCTTTTCTTCAGAAAATAAAAAAGTTTTAGTTTTAGTGAAAGGTAATCCATTTTAAAAAGTAGGATATTCTAGTTTTACTGTGAAGCTCGTCATGTGCAAAGCCACAGGAAAGCAAGCTGTTGTTTGTTGTCTTGTTCACTTCCAGGCCCATGTGCTTTGTGAAGCAGCTGGAGATTCCTCAGTATGGCTACAGAAACAATGTCCCCACAACAACGCCGCGTTCCAACCTGGCCAAGGAGCTCGAGAAATATTCCAAGACCTCGTTTGAATACAACAGTTACGACAGCCATACTTATGGCAAGCGAGCCATAGCTCCCAAGGTGCAAACCAGGGATATATCCCCCAAAGGATATGATGATGGTAGGAGGTGCACACTCTTCTACATGAGAGACACGTTGCCATTGATGATGTTGTTGTTGTGTATATCAATGTCCTACAAGTTAGTTGAGCGGTGGTGGTCACTCGATGGGTACCAAAAGAACAGGATATTCGTAGCACAGCCCAGGAGCTGAAAGCCCCCCAGGTCCACACAGCTGTAGGAGAGCAAACCTTCAGGGGAAGGAAGGTGATGGTTTCCCCGCAGTCATTCTGAGGCAGCGCACTCGGCTGCTCGTGGAATGTGGAGAGGGAGAAGCGATGGACTGGCTCGTTGTCTTTTGTGGTACTGGGAAGACAGTACCCTTATCTTAATATGCTTCCTTTAAATAAATGCTTGAGACAGACAGTGCAGGGGGAGCCAGCAGGCAGCCCTCGGCTCCCGGGAGCTTTGAGGAGCTCTGCACCCATCTCCTTGGTGTTCTCAGCCTCGCATGCACATGAGAACCATCCAGGGAGATTTTTTTTTTTAATTCTTATGCCCAACCTGCCCTCATGACCAGTGAAATCAGAATCTCTGGAGGGCTCCCTGCACGACACGATGACATTTTTGAGAAGCTCACCAGTGATTCCCGTGCAGCCAGAGCTAGTGGCCTCCTTGTCACCCAGCCTCTTCACAGCAAGACCAGGACCTGGGTCCCCCTGTAACTGGGGACGATGGAGCAAAACAAGGCCCAGCCTGGGGTGCTGCCGGCGGAGCCAGAGCTTTGTTCCTTGCTGGCTTGTGGCTGCTGTGGCACCAACAAAATAGAGCTCATGCAGCAAACGCAGGGCCACGGGCTTCACGGGAAAAGAGTGGTTTATTTTGACTAATGCTTATTTGAACCACTACCAAGAGTGTGAACTAGTTACCATTTCACTACAAAGCTAGTTGGTAAGTAGTTTTTCATTAGAGGGGAAGACTCTATTTATTTAATTTTTTTTATTGATCTAACTGTGTGTCTGCTTTAAATTCTAGGCTGTATAGACGTAATTGCCAAGTTTTACCAATTGGGACTTGGGGTGTAAATGTTCTGATGATTTAGAAATCTTGTCATGATATTCTCTAGCACAGCGGAAGGAAATAGTTTTTTTAAAAAGGTCATCAAGCTTTTCTTTGAAAAAGATATTTAGGGCAGGGTGCAGTGGTTCACGCCTGTAATCCCAGCACTTTGGGAGGCTGAGCCAGGTGGATCACTTGGTGTCAAGAGTTCAAGACCAGCCTGGCCAACATGGCAAAACCTCGTTTCTACTAAAAATACAAAAATTAGCCGGGCATGGTGGCTCATGCCTGTAACCCCAGCTGCTCAGTAGGTTGAGGCACAAGAATCGCTTCAACCTGGGAAGCAGAGGTTGAAGTGAGCTGAGCTAGTGTGCTGCTGCTCTCCAGCCTGGGGGACAGAGCAAGACGCTGGATCAAAAACAAAGAAAAAGATACTTAGTTAAAATCACAGTACACACACACAGTATTTAAACTGAATGCTTGGGGAGTTCAGAAACCATTTTTATCATTCTACAGGAATGACCGCACATCTTTCTAAGCTATGGTATTTCTTGCCTTAATAACAATTTATTTGTATAATGAATGAAATGTATTTCTTGGAGCTATCATATATTGGTCAGAAACACGGACATAAATGGATAGAAGGAGTGACTGTAGGGTATAACAGAAATAGTTCTGTTGGTTTGTTGTTGGGTTTATGATAATTTCAGGTTTCTTATCATCTCATTTGTTCATCTACAAGTGAAGAATCAAAAGAAATTAAGTTCTCATAATTGAAGACTGTTTATATGATTTCCAATTCATTGACATTTTGCCGGGATTTGATCCATTCTTTCATTAGAGATTCATTTTTACGCACCTGTTTTTTGCTGTTCTTGTTCCGTGTGGGCTGATTTCTTTCTGGAGCTTCATTGTTAAGGTTAGACTCCAGCCTGAGAAGGAAGGGGGGCTTCTGGGTGAAGCTGTGAGCAGCAGAGCAGTCTCAGGGTCACGGTGCCTTGAGGGGACCCGAAGTCAAATCCACTGAGCATATTCTCGGTGCCGTTCTTAGGAGCCGGATGCTACTGGACAAATTAGCCCAGCACGGCATGGGTTTCCTCGGGAGCAGAGAGGAGGCAGGAGTGTCCTCTGCTGACCTTGCCAGGCTGCAGTGAAGATCAGCCGAGACGGGACGGGTGCGAGGATGCGATCAGTGGCACCATCACATGTTAGTTACTGGCATTGACCATCACATGCCCGGCAGGGGCCCTGCTGTGGACACTAAGGCTGAGCCATGCTTTGCAGCCGACCCCCTGGAAACAAGCGTCTATTGAGCAGACAGGCTGAAAGCTCAGTGTTAGGGCTTCGGGAAAACAGAGCAGAGGAAACGCAGCCTCTTACCACAATGTAGTGAGAAACTGAGCCGACCCTCCGCTTATTTGTATAGATTTTAGAGGCACAAGTGTTACGCAGATGTATCGTGTGGATGTGAAGTCTGGGCTTTTAGTGACACTCTGTTTCCATTTCACTAGACTCATCTGACAGATTTTAAAAGCATCCTGGAAAGTGCCCACTAGGACAAGACTGGCTGGTAGGGTTGTTGATGGGGTGTGATCCGAGGGGGTCCGGCCCCACTCCTGGGCACCAGGTGGCAGATTCTGACCGCAGAGTGACTGCTGCCTGCAGGTACCCTCCAATGAATCTTGGCCAATACTTGCTTCAGGTGCACAAAGAATTGACTTGTTGCTTCTAAAAAGAGACAAAGAAATGTTGTAAGGGAGAAAAGTACAGTTCTTAGCAACCAAAGGTCAGGGCCATGCAGATACAGAATGAAATAGAGCATAGGACCTTCTCTGCAGCCTTGGAGAATCATCCCTTAAATCATACCAGCTGTGATCAGACCACTCACAAAATCTTCACTTCACCAGCTGCATCCTTCCAGACATAGCACACCAGTGCTTGCTGTCCACCTGACCATCTGTGTCTATGTGTCTGTCTGTGTGTCTGTGTGTCCGTGTGTCTGCCTACCCATCTGTCAGTCCATCATTCCTTCCCTCAGGATACACAAGACAGTGAAACACACACTGGTGCCCAGTGAAGTGAGGAGTCCCTCTGCCTGCAGGATTAGCATGTGCTTTACCAAAGCGGCAAACTGTAGATGAGATCATAGAGTGTGAGCAGAAATCATACAAAGGTAGAGAAACACACAGGATGGTGAGCACAGCCAGTGGTCTGGAGGCCAGGACGGAGACCCATGAGAAGGAAGAACAGGGAAAGCCGCGGGGGCTGCTGAGGAAGGGGCTTCACGTTGTCTGTAGGAAATAGAAATCCATGCAGGGTGACGGAGGGGCTGCGGGGAGGAGGACGGAGCATCCACTGGGGCATCTGAGCCCTGCCCTCTCCCAGGAGCTCCAAGCCACAGCCCCACCCCCCCTGTTTTGTATGGTGAGCTAAGAATGGCTTTGACATTTTTAAAGAATTGGAGAAAAACACAAATGACAAATAATATTTTCTGATATATAAAAGCTATGTGAAATTCCGTTGCCATGCCATGGATAGAGTGTCATTGGCACCTGGCTGCCCTCAGGGCTTGGTGGGCAGGCTGCGGTTGCTCCTATGGTACAGGGCAGAGCCAAGTGGCCACAAAAACGATCGCAGAGTTCCCAAAGCCTAAGCATTGGCTACGAAATCCTCTCCAGAAAAAGTTGCCACCCCCTGGCCTCATATGTCTCCACTTTGCTCTGTCTCCAGGCAACACACCCCACCCTTGGGGGCCTAGTCCTGTCAGGCTCCCAGCCCCCGAGTGGGCTCTGCCCGTGTTCTCCTTTTGATTATTCCCAGCTTCCAAATTCGCCAGCACTCAGACCTTCCCATCATCTTGGCTCTTCCTCTTGTTTGCCCCCTGCCCTCCTGGCTGCACGGACGACTCTCCTGACTACCTGGGCACCTGTAGGCTCCTCTCGTCTCTCCTGCACGACCCCTCTGGAGTGCACCTCCCTGGCCCTCAGTCTCCAGTCCCATCACGCCCACCTGCAGGGCTCCCTTCTTCCCTTCACCTGGCTGTCTTCCCCACGGCCTCTCTCCCTGAGCAGAGGCCACTCCCTGGTGAAGTTCTCTCCTCCTGTGGGCAGTGCGAGGCCCTTCCTACCACTCTCCATCTGCCTGCGTCCATGGAGCTCGATGCCACACTCTGCCCCGCAGCATGGCTGCGTCTCACCTCGCGGGCACCGCCTGCCGGGACGGCCTGTCTTCCCATGGGCCCCAAGCTCCTGCTGGGCCACAGCTGGGTCTGCAGATTCGCTCCACCCTCTAGGGCCTGGGCAGGCCAGGCAGGCAGTAGCCGTGCCAAGGACACTGAGGAAAAGAAAGCCTGACACCGAGACCCCGACGCCCCTTGGACATCAGCTCAACTCCAGCAAGTAGATCGTGTGCCTTTGAGATGTCATCCCACAGGCTGGAAAGCTCTGTTCTTTCCCATGTAAGATTAGATGTCTGTATTTCAACTTACTTGAAACTCTAGGTGGAAGTGTGTAAAGACTATGAGACTCAGTGCCACAGACGAGGGCCTGAATCAAGTTAGGTCTAAAGATGACTGGGTCCCAGCTAGTGGAGACATCTTCATGATGGACATCTTGTGATTGCATTTGTCTAGGTTTTCATGGAAATTCATACTGTGGATACATGTTTATCTATTCTCTGCAAGAAAAGGTGAATCCATAAGGCAATAGACATTCCTAGGAGAATGCGGCATGTACATTTAGTAAGAATTTCACGAGCAGAGTAGGCAAATGAAAAGGTCCTACCTGGAAGGTTTTATATTTTGTTGTTTTGGTTTATTATTATTATTATGTCAACAGCTGTATTTAATCACACAAATCCTGTGTGCTTTACCTTTTTTCCTGCAGTAGAGGAGACGGAATATTGAAGAGGTGTTTTTAGGATGGTTTAAGATCCAGCGGCTGCTCCTGTTTCAAGGCAGCTCTGGCATCTAGAGTTAAAGCTACTGCATTGCTCGTAACATACA